AGAGATCAGCAAACCTGCTGTTTTCGCCTGTGTATCAGCGATTCACACAGGCAGTTTACCACTGTGCTTTGATCTCAGAGATGGCAGAGTAGGAATCTGAAGTATGGGTGCCTCTGTCACAGGCTTATGTGGTGGAAACACAGATGCTCTACTTGCACAACACTCAAGGCTAAACAACAATTAGTATAAGTGTGTTTTTCTACACCTCAGCTGCAGGTCACTGGAGCATGTTTATATTTCTACTTGCCAATCTCCCATTATTTTCTCACAGATGGAAAAGGTCTCTTTTGTAATGATGGGCTGTAGAAGAATTGTTTTATTCCACATTGGTTGCTTAAGGACGAATGTGGGGTTTTTTTAAGTTGAGATTAACTTGTGGCTGCTACTTAAGTTGAAGGTTTGAGGTAGAATGAATATTTTTTCTGATCCTCTTTAGTAGCTTTCTAATGTCATTGTCTAAAAGATCTAGTGAAAAATAACTTTTAGGATATTATATCTTGCTGGCACTTTTCAGTTCACAAAACTCAGGAGCTTCAATGAACTGTGAGATGAATTTTTAGAGCACTTGGGAAGATGGATGTTGTCTGTCAAGTTATTGTAGTTGTGTGTGTATGTATGTGTATACATACATATGTGTATATATACATACATACATGTATGATTTCAAGTTGATGTTTTCCAGGTCTAAGAAATTTGAGGAGGTGGAAACTACTGTCCTAGGACTGAACAGTAACTATGATGAGACAGTCAGCAACATTTCTTCTGCCTCACCAAAGAGCCGTGTGAACGGAAGTGCAGAGTCCAGAAGCAAGCGGACCATTCGCAGGCCTGCTTACTGGTTGGAAATGAGAGGAATAAAAAACAGCATTAACAAACCTTCAGAGAAAAAAGGTACTTACCACTCTTGGCTTGATGCAAAACTGTTTTTTCTCTCTGGTTCTTTTATAAGAGATTAGATGACTTCTGAAAGACATACTGCAGTTAACCCACAAATTACAAGCTTGGTAACGCTGCTCATGCATTTGGAGAAATAAACTTCCTCCACTGCAGAAACGTAGGTAAAATTCTCTGATGTTACGCAGTTCTTTTTGAGTGACTTGTCTTAAAATTAATGATTCTGCGACTGAGCTCAGCTTTGTCTATAGAAAAGATGTGCAAATCGTATCAGGAATATGCTTTGAGAGCTTTAAAAATGGAACAAACAACACTAAAGATGTAGAAAAGGGGGACCGTTCAGCAGTATTCTGGATTAGACATGGCTTTTGTTGTTGGTAGGTTTGTGGAGGTTTTTTTAGGGTTTTTATTTCTTTTATTTGCTCACTTCTGTCACTTACAATTTTCTGATTTGGAGTGGTTTGGGTCTCATTATGAATATTCAGATTTCCTGGCCTAGGAGCTGCTTTCCAAACTTCTCATGTGGTGAGGAGCCAAAACTTTGCTGCTCTTTAATGCATCTTCTTCTTATCTCTAAGTCAGAATCTGTATTCCATCCTGTTGTGAGGAGAGCTGAATCTGGTAGCTTGATAGAAGCAAGGTTGCTGCAGCTCCACACCCCCAGCTCCAACCAGTAGCGAGACCAAGTGTGTATTCCTGTAGGTATAAACACATGTATACAACATGTGTACACAGCCAGCAGCACAGATCAACACTAAGATCAGCACTCACACAAGCAGCACCAACGGCCTCCATCCTGTTTCCCTCTCTGGCCGATCAGGACGAAGATGTGTTTGTGAGAGAAAAGAAGCATATATACATATATACATTTGTGTGCACACATATGTGGTATGTGGATCTCTCCTGTAGCTGGACTTAGACACTGAGTCTACTCAGTGTTTGGCCTTTGGATCCTGGTCTCCTCAGTTGCTGGTGCGTGGACGTACTGGCCCCTCAGGCCCACAGAGCCATGCCAGTTGCTGGTGTAGACCTCCTTACGGACAGGCTTATGCTCGCAGACACTGCTCTGCCCTGGTCCCTCCGATTTGGTGTCAGACGTGACCAGACTTATATACTGACCAACCTCCTATTTACAAGCAAGTGGCCATTTTTATCCGCTTACACCTCTATTTTCCCACACTTGATCTTCCCCAAATCAGCTAATTCTCTCCCTTCTCCTTCCTTTGACACCACTCCTAAACATCTCAGGCTTGTGTAATCCTGAATTGTTCTTCACTAACGTCCTGTGTGTCACGTAACCCTAGGTATTAACACCACACTCTCCCTTTTCACTGCTACCCCTTTTCCCCCTTCCAAAGGGTGGTCCGGAGAATGACTCCAGTTGACTCATCCTGGTGGCTCTCCTGGGACAGACCTCAGAGGAAGGTGTCTGTTTCTTTGAGTCCATAATTTGTGTTCCCCCGCCTGCCATTGTCCTGTACTTCTCAATGTTCATGGAGATAAGCCTTTGGTAGGCCTGGAAATACTGAGGGGAGGCAGGGTATTATTTGGGGTTCCCCATCTGCCGTTGTTTCTCGCTGCTTTTTTGTGTGTGCGCGCAGATGAGCTTTTCATGACATAACCTAGCACCTTCTGGCTCTATTCCTGAGGAGTATTGTTTTCCAAGACCATGCTGTGACACTGTTTCTTCCATATCTTCTGTGTCGGAAGATTGCAGGCTGTGGAGTGCCTAAATGTTACTGAGTCAGAAGCCTAGCTCACTGGTGTCCAGGTGCCTTACAAAACCGACTTTTGGGTTGGTTTTTTTTAAGTATTGAATACGAGGATAAGCTGAGGCAGTAGCAGACTCAAAGCTGTTATCCAGACTGAATAATGAGACTGAAGCGTTTCTGTTCTTGCTCACTAGCAGGGGAAGTACTATTGAAATGCAAGAGGAAATCTGAGCAAGGGGAAGGTGAAGATCTTAAAGACTCTCCCAAGAAGAAGCAGAAGATTTCGGGTAATACAAATAACTTGTAATTCCTAGTTACAAGCCTCCAGGTACTTCAGACTTCCTTTCTGCCCAAATGCTATCCTCTGCTGTCTTCCAACTCTATTTCTGATTCTGGGTATTTTGTTACAGGACACTGTTGACTAGTTTCTGTTTTACAGTGGGAGATGATTGTTCTAATTTCAGTCTCTCTTAAGAAAGTCCAGCAAAGGGAGGGACGAAAGGAAGTAGGGGAAGTATAGGCTAGTCTGCTTCATTTCAGTTTTACGGAAGATTCTGGACTAAATAGTCAGACAAATTACTTGTAATCATCTGGAAGTTAATGGGTAGATGAAAACAGCGATATGGGTTTGTTACAGAGAAATCAAACCAAACCAGTTTAATTTTCTTTTACCACAGAGACAGAGGGGGAAGTGCTGGATATCATAGGTCTTTCATGCCTTCAAAGGGCTGTTAATCAGTGGCTAGGTGCAAAATGAAATGTACAAGTGGTGAAAGTAGGAGCAGGTGACACAGGAGAAGTATATATTTGCTGTCTAATCTTGCAAGGATGAGATGAGGACAGCCAAGGCCAACCTGGAGTTGAATCTGGGAAGGGATGTGAAAGGCAGCAAGAAAGGATTCTACAAGTACATGAACAGCAATGGGAAGACCAGGGAAAGTGTGAGTGCACTGCTGAACAGGGCAGGGGAGCTGGCGACAAATGATATGGAAAAAGCCGAGGTGTTCAATGCTTCCTGTGTCTCAGTCTTTATCAGTTAAAGGAGTCTTTCAGGAACCCCGGGCGCCTAAGACCAGAGGGAAAGTCTGGAGCAAGGAAGCCTTACACTCAGTGAAGGAGGATGAGGTTAGAGCACTTAAACAAACTGGACATACCTAAGTCCCATGGGAGCTGACAGGTTGCACCGAGTGCTGAGAGGGCTGGCTGATTTCATTGTGAGGCCACTCTTGGTTATCTTTGAAAGGTCATGGTGACTGGGAGAGGTTCCTGAAGACTGGAGGAGAGCAAATATCACTCCTATCTTCAAGGACAGAAAGAAGGACAATCTGAGGAACTACAGGTCGGTCAGCCTCACCTCAGTCCCTGGGAAGGTGATGGAGAGTCCTCCTGGAAAGCATTTCCAAACACATGAAGGACAAGATGGTGATGGGGAGCGTGGATTCATGAAGGACAAATCATGCTTAATCAACCTGATAACCATCTACAATGAGGTCGCTAGCTTGGTGGACAAGAGGAGAGTAGCAATTGGGAGTAGTCAGCATGGATTCATGAAGGACAAATCAAACTTAATCAACCTGATAGCCATCTACAATGAGGTCACTAGCTTGGTGGACAAGAGGAGAGCAGTGAATGTTGTTCACTTCAACTTTAGTAAGGCTTTTGGTGCCGTTTCCCATGACATCCTCATAGACAAGTTGCCAAAGTACAGGTTAGATGAACAGTACAGTGGATTGAAAACTAGCCCAGAGAGCTGTGATCAGCAGCGCAAAAGCTAGTTGGAGGCACATCACTAGTGGCATACCGCAGGGGTCAATACTGGGGCCAGTACTGTTTAACATTTTCATTGATGACCTGGACAATGGGACAGCGTGCACCCTCAGAAAGCACACAGATGATACCAAACAGGGAGGAGTGGTGGTACACCAGATGGGTGTGTGGCCATTCACAGGGACCTGGACAGGCTAGAGAATTAAGCAGAGAGGAATCTCTTCAGGTTCATCAAGGAAAAATACGAAGTCCTGCAGCTGGGCAGAAATAACCCCATGTACCAGAATATGCTGGGCGCTAACTTTCTGGAAACCAGCTCTGCAGAGAGGGAACTTGGGGTCCTGGAGGACAGCAAGCTGACCATGAGCCAGCAACGCACTCTTGTGGCAAAGGCAGCCAACAGCATTCTGGGGTACATTAGGAAGAGCATTGCCAGCCGATTGAGGGAGGTGATCCTTCCTTTCTGCTCATCACTGGTGGGGCCACATCTGGAGTGCCATGTCTGGTTCTGGGCTCCCCCATACAGGGCTGCAAAGATGATTGTGGGACTGGAATATCTTTTCTATGAGGACAGGCTGAGAGAGCTGCAACTCTTCAGTCTGGAGAAGAGAAGGTCGGGGGAATCTTATCAGTGTGTATAAACACTTGGTGTGAGGGAATGAAGAAAAGAAAGCCAGGCTCTTCTCTGTAGTGCTCACTGACAGGACAAGAGGCAATGGGCACAAATTAAAGCACGCAAAATTCTATTTGAAGACAAGAATGCACTTTTTTACTGTGAGGGTGGTCAAACCCTGGCACAGGTTGCCGAAAGATGTTGTAGAGTCTCCATCACTGGAAATACTCAAAAACTTGACTTAACATGTTCTTTGGCAACCTACTCTAGCTGACCTTGCTTCAACAAGGGGTTGAACTATGTGATCTCAGGAGGTCCCTTCCAACCTAAATGGTTCTGTGATTTCTGTGAAATAGAAAGAAGTATAGAATGATGGTTCACAGTCTGTCCTAGGTTCAATTCTAACTATCGTTACTGTCACCAAGGACTTGAGAGTATGTAGACAGCATGAAGCTGAAAGAGACTGCAAGTGTCTTGGAGAAAAGGTTAAAATTGAAAGTGTTCTTGATGTTGGAGAAACAGTTTAAAAAAATAGAATGGAATATAGTGTGTGTAATTAAAGATACTGTAGTTAGTTAAGAAATATTAGCACAGCTGAAAGACAAATAACAACCTCCTAGGTGTCAGCTCTTCAGAAGAGGTTTTGAGATTTATAACAGATCAAAAGCTGAATGGGCACCAACAGTGTCATACTTGCTTTTAAAAAGGCAGATGTTATACTGAGGTGTTTGAACAATGAAGGGAGGAGGTCATTATCTTTCTTCATTGAGATGTTCAGACATGTGAAGTAATTATTTTTGCTCTAATGCAGGGTCACACTTGGAGCGTTGTTTCCAGCAGTGGGCACTGCAGTTCAGGAAATGTGTGGACCATCTGAAGAGAACAGATGAGAAGAGAGCAAAAAGCATAGCCCATGAGAAAATGCTGAAAAAATAAGAGTTGTTTAGTCTAAAGAAAACAGGAATGGGACTGTCCATTTGGTTGTGAACAAGTCATTAGGTTGGCTCAGCCATACTGTGAACAGAGGATGTTTCAGCATGAAGAGTTCCCACGCTCTGAACTTTGTGTATGAACAACCATACGGATTACAGATATCTGGATGGGACTAATGCCTGCAGCTGTAAATAGCTATGGATTTTGAAAGGGAGTAGGGGAACATAATCTTGAAATTCATTTTTGGGGAAAAAAAAAAAAAAGCATTGAACGTTTCTGAATGAGTAGCTCTCAGACAGCAGACTAAATAGCAGCCTCCTAGCAAAAGATCTCTGCTCTTTTTATAACAAGGCTCACAAAATTAAGTCTTCTGGTCTTGTTTGTATTACAACAGGAAAAAAGCAGCAAGCTGGAACACAACACAACTCCAAAACGAAAGGCCACCGTGTTCAAAAAGAACCGGAAACTTATGGCACAGGTAAGAAGATGAAGCAGTTGCTCAGAGTTGTTTATTAAGCAGCTTGTGCTGATTTTGGCTGGGATAGAGTTTATTTTCTTCACAGCAGCTAGTATGGGGCTATGTTTTTGATTTGTGCTGGAAACGGTGTTGATAATACAGGGATGTTTCGGTTACTGCTGAGCAGTGCTCACATGGAGTCAAGGCCTTTTCTGCTCCTCACACCGCCCTGCTGGCGGGCGGGCTCGGGGTGCGCAAAAGGTTGGGAGGAGACAGAGCCAGAACAGCTGACCCCAAGCGACCAAAGGGATATTCCGTGCCATATGACATCGTGCTCAGTATATAAAGCTGGGGGAAAGAAGAAGGGGAATGTTTGGAGTTATGATGTTTGTTTTCTCAAGTAACAGTTATGTGTGATGGAGCCCGGCTCTCCTGGGCATGGCTGAACACCCGCCTGCTGATGGGAAGCAGTGAATGAATTCCTTGTTTTGCTTTGCTTGTGTGCGCGGCTTTTGCTTTACCTATTAAACTGTCTTTATCTCAACCCACAAATTTTCTCACTTTTACTCTTCTGATTCTCTCCCCCATCCCACCAGGAGGAAGTGAGTGAGCGGCTGTGTAGTGCTTAGTGGCTGGCTGGGGTTAAACCACAACACAGCTAAAAGATAAATGTGATTCTATGATTTGAGTCTGAGCAACAGCTGTGTTTCTAGTGTTTCCATTTTGTTGTTCACTTTACTGTTGATAAGGAAGAACTGGCTGCTGTCCTTTTGGCACAGTGTCAGTACTGCAGAGCAAAATTAGAGGGACTGCATACTGCCTAATAGCATGGTTCCATGTGGTTTTACCCAGAGCAGTGAAGGGGGAATCACTTTTTGAACCGAGAAAAAGCCTGTTAAGATAGTTGCACTATAAAACTCATAAAAATATTTATACCTTTTTACTTACCAGAATATGGTTGCAGGAAAAACTCTGTAGCTGTTGCTGCCAAATCGCCTCTTTTGGTGAGCCAGAGACCAAAGCTGTCCATCTTAGAAAAATAACATTAGCCTTGACTCAGCAAGCAGAATGACTTGGTAGGTGTAGCTCACAGCACTCATTAAATACCCCAGTTTTCTGCCTAGTGATGTTTGATTCACAGCCTTTTCCCCCAGCCACCTGGGGAAGGACAACGCCTGACTGTTATTACAGGGCAAAGAGGAAAGCTGGAAAGCCTTTAGATCTTTTTGTAAGAATTCAAGCATGTGGCTGCTAAGCCACTTTCTTCCTGGAGCCCGTTTCGGTAATTTATAATTCTTGCGGATTATGCCGGGCTTTTGCTTGGCATTTCAAAAATAGGCCAGGAACTGGAAACCATGGCACACAGGGTACATTTCGCTGGCTGCTGAGTAACTTGGGCTGGTGGTGCAGCTCTGTTCACTTTCAGTGCCAAAACTGCTGGTTAACGTAAGTGGAGTTCTAAAGATTTGGTTAGTAGAACGGAACTGTGGACTTTGTCTGAAACTGTTCAATCACATCTGTGACTACTTTTACTGTGAATACCCTTCTGCCGAAAGAAAAGTTTACTCTGCATGCTAAAGTAACTATGTAATAAAAATGAATGAATGAAACATCTCTACTGAACAAGTCGAAGAACACTCCTCACAAGGGGATGGTAGGATTAAGGAGTTTTTATAAAATTATCTCCCAAAAGGAGTGATGTGTGCCTTGTCACATGACACATTTAAAGCTGTGAATGAGCTAAACCTATTGAAGTGTAGCTGGACATGAGTTTGGTAGCATCTGACCTCTTTCCTTCTAGGATTCGTTGTGCACATCAAAGGGGGGGAAAAAAAAAAAAAGAGAGATCATGTTTGCTGTTCTATTCCAAACCTTTTGTTTTGACAGGTAGTATGGAAGAGCAATGGTCTTTGGAAATTCAGGACAAAGGCCGAGTTACCTGTCCAACATGCCGGGCTGTAGTGAGAAAGACTGTAGAAGGACTGAAGAAACATATGGTAAATTGCAGGCAGGTAAGAACACGAGAGGTGAACCGTGTTTTCTTTACTCCTTTTCAGCTTACTGATAGAAATGCCTGCGCACTGTTTTGTGTTGCGTTTGAAACCAGTTTCATATCATCATCATGTCTCTAAGCAAAAGTCCTTTATACGTCTGTAAGAGGCTGAGCTTGGTGTGTCTTGCTTAGCCTTTTGCTGGAGGTTTGGGGTAGTGAACAAAAGTTAGCTATTTCATTGTTCTCCTAAATTTTAGGCTCCAGAAAATCTCTTCTGTTCTTAATGGGCAGTTATGAGGCCCAAATAAAATGTTCCACTCTCCTAATCTTTTCCCACAAAGAGTTTCCCGCTGCTGTGGTTAATTTGCAGTTACGTGCACAATGTGCTTGTTTGTTTCTAGAAAATGTTCACATGTCACCACTGTGGGAAGCAGCTGAAGTCTTTAGGAGGGATGAAATACCACGTCATGGCAGACCATAACAATCAGGTAACACAACTGCTGTGAATCTAAAAATCCTATGGGCAAGGCAGTCTTTGGTTCTTTCCCTGATGCACACAAAAACAGAACATGGTGTGTTTTTTCAAATGTTGTAGCTGTTGAAATCTTGCCTACCTGTTATTTTTCCTGTGAAATGTGACATCTGAAAAAACAGTAGAATGTTACCAGAGATGGTAGACATGCTACATCTCAGGAGGAGGGGCGTAATTTCTGTTTAGGCTGGTTACGTGTCACACATAAAAGGCTTTCTCAATCAGAAAAAAAAAATGGTTGCTCATTAGGCTGCAGTTTTCAGTCCTTTGCTAGAAAGTAGTTTTTCTACATCCAGAGCAGACTACATTTCAGTTCTTTACAAGTTCAAAGGTAAAAAAGCAGAAGCAGTAGTTTAGTTCTTGTCTATATTTACTGTAGAGATAATAATGCTGCCATCTGCTTTTCCTCTTTGCTATTTCTTTGAAGAAAGCAACGTCTCCTATTGTAGTTGTGAAGAATTAGAACTTTTGGAAAGGTCATTCAGGAGTTTGGGTAAGGTTTAGATAATTTGGTGCTGTTATTTTTTATACAGTTCCCAGTACTGTGGTTTCTGAACCTACAGCTATAGTAGTAAATTAAATAGACATGGGCTCATATTCTGGCCCTGAGGAATAGGTCTGTCACTCAGTTCTAACTTTTTATTCAGTCTAGGTGTAATATTATTATAAGATAGTGTAGGAAATAATATACAATAACCATCAGAGAGAGAATAGAGAATTTTAACTGTAGTTCAGCATAGATGAATAACTGTTACAGGCAGTTAGTCTGCTTAGCTTAGTTAGGCTAAGTGGAAATGGTAGGACCAGTAAATGTTAAAGATGCATGACAGAGATGAGTTAGTACTTTCCACAGGCAGAAGGGAAGAAAAGTAATTATGGAAATACATACCCTTGTCCTTCCCAGAAGCTATAGTTTGGGACCATTTCTTACCAAGGTTTTGTTCATAGATAGCCATCTAAATGTTAAAACTCTTATCTGCAAAGTTGTTTTCAGGCAGTTTACTCCTTTTAAAGATAATTCAGTTGTTTGGGGGGTATAGACAGGGATCGTTGTATTAAATACACTTCTGTAAAATCATAAGTTGCAGCAGTTTAATTATTTTAGAAGCTTTCCTTAGTAGTGTGTTGAGTATTGAATTCCATATGAGAACTGTGAATGCTGAACATCCTGTATTTTTCTTTCATCTTCCTACTGTGCTTTAGCCAGTTGTGAAGGAGGGAGGAGAATTGGATGAGCAGCTTGAGCGAGACCGCCTTCGGAAGGTTTTGAAGCTTATGGGAAAACTAAAGTGTACAAGGGAGGTAAGCTGCAATGTGCTAAGTATCCTGAATTAAACAGCAGTGGATGCACAAATGTAAAATATTGTGAGAGTTCTGCTATGTGTGCTTTGGTGCTGGCCAAGGCTGGATTTGTTTCCAAGATCCTGGCTATGCTTTTCAGACAGAGTATCATAGAATGGTTTGAGATTTGAAGGGACCTTTAAAGATCATCTAGTCCAACCCTCTTGCAATAAGCAAGTTGATATCTTCAACTCGCTCAGGTTGCTCAGAGCCCCATCCAACCGGATCTTGAATGTTTCCACGGATGGGGCATCTGCCTCTGTGGGAAACCTGTTCCAGTGTTTCACCACCCTCAATGTAGACAATTTTTTCATTATATCTAGTCTAAATCTACCCTCCTTTAGTTTAAAACCGTTACACCTTGTCGTATCACCACAGGCCCTATTAAAAACTTTGTCCTCATCTTTCTTATAAGCCCCATTTAAGTCCTGAAAGACTGCTGTAAGGTCTCCCTGGAGCCTTCTCTTCTCCAGCAGGGTCAGCTAGATATCTTTGAGTATTTGATGTGTTGGTCTTCAAGGGGGATCGAGAGGGCACTGCGTTGTGTCTTGTGTGCACCAAAAGTATTTTACTAATGTGTACTTCTGGTCTTTCCTTAGTTGTTTGTGATAGCTAGGAAGATGTTTTTATGCATAATTACTGTGAATTTGTCTGTGGTTTTTGAAAATACTGAGATTCACCACAGCTAGAGAAGGGTATGGAGAGCAGATGGATACATCTAACAGCATTAAAATCTTGCTAATGCATGTTTGGTTTGACCTGTTTCCAAGTTCAGTGTCAAGTTGATTACTGGATTCAGGGCTAGGAGATATTCTAGTAAGTGATGTTCTCAGAAACCGTTGGAGTTTTTGTTGTCATCTGCTGCAGTATGAGACAACAGATGTATCCCAGGAATAGCCGAAAGTTTTATTTAGCATCACCCTAATATCGCTGTGTTCCAGACAGTTTGACCAGCCAACCAAGTATAAAACCATCCTCTTTTTCTGCCCAACTGCTCCATGTGTATCTGAAAATCTTTCAGTTTTGTGCATCCTCATTTAACATCTTGCTTCTTCATTCCACGTATTGAAATTTTCTGTTGCCCACTGGCTACAAAGAAGTTCTAAGAAACAGTTTCTCCCAGTTGCAGCCAATTCTTTGTCTGAGGTTTTGTCTATCTGAATAGACTGACATTAAAGTTTACTATGTGATGTCTCTGGTCTGGCAGGAAAAGTGATATTACTTTGGTCAGCAAACTGTGGATTCTATACACAGCGGTCTTGTGAACCCTTGGAGAGCATTTTTCTTCCATGCATTTTTCTTCTGCACTGACAGGGCTGCACAGGCAGCTTCACTAGCATAATGGGATACCTGTATCACGTTAAAAAATGTGGGAAGGCGGCTTCTGAGCTGGAGAAAATGGCTATGAAGTGCCATCACTGCGGAAAAGCATACAAATCAAAGGCAGGACTTGTCTACCATCTCCGATCTAAGCATGGGCCGGTAAGTGCAAATTGCCATAGTCACCAGGATGGTGTGGTGGTACTTCAGCCATTCAGACTTGAGGCACACGTAGGCTTTTGTCTGCTACTGGGGTGGGTAATTAGGGATAGCAAATCTTTGTGTTTTTCTGTCTCTGTGGAGTATTCTGTCCTTGATACTTTCCTTCTAGCAGCAGCTGTGCTGTTCTGTGACTAGGGTGAAGTTTTTCATAGTAAATCACCATGGCAGCAGTAAACTTTCCCCAGCCTGACTTTTGCTCCATGGAAGAACGATGCTAACATGCACAACTTGTGAGATGTTTTTCTTTGCTCTTACAAGACCCAACGTGGGAGCAGAACGGGCAGCACTATGCTTGTTGTCCATGAGGGTTTTGCAGCAAATGATGTGATATCCTTTCAAGACCAGTGGCTGCGTGAAACTCACTGCTTGAGCCTTGCTGCTGTGACCCCCCTGAGTAGGTCTGGGGGTCTGTCTCGCTGGTGGGATGCACTTCTGTCCTATGTCTGTGACAGTGAACTGCAACTGCAGCAGCATTTTTGCGAGGGATGTGGCAGAATATTTATTCACAGTATTTAGTGTAACTGAAATAGGAACTAGTGAAGGAGGCTTACCTTTTTTGGCCTTTGTTGCAGGTCACTTTCCTTCATGAGGAGAGAAGAACAGAGAGCCTGAAGAAAATAAAACGGGAGCCAAATAACACAGGCAGAGTTCAGAGGAGATCTGCAAAGGTGGCAATCTACTATCTCCATGAGCTAGCTGGAGAAGAGCTGGCCAAAGAGTGGCCCAAGAGGAAAGTTCTGCAGGACTTGATTCCAGATGACCGGAAGGTACGAGGCCTTAAAAATGCTATATAGGGTTTGAGTCTTTCATTACATCAGATGAGTTGTACTGGCGTCCACCCTGTGTTGCAGGTGTTCAGTGGCCCATGGAAAGCAATATTGAAGAAGTAGTATCTTGTGGGAGGGATCAGGTTTTGCTCTTCTGGTCTTAGATTACAGTATTGCTACAGTAGCAGTTGCTGTGGTATAAGTATTTTATCCAGGCAGGCTATAATGACTTTCAAGTCCCATTGCTGTAATTTTCAGTGGGCACAAGTAATGAAGGCAGTTATAGGTGGTATGTTGCTCACAGGTCATAGGCTGCAGATCACTGCTGCCATGCAGTGATATTTCATAGTTTTTCAGGCTTCGAAGTTTCCAGAAGCATCTTTTAGGCTGTAAGAGAAACCCAAGGGAAAAGGATGATTTATGATTTTAATGGAGTAGAGGAATTGTTGTAGTCAAAGTTATGGGAGGTTTTGGATTCTGATATTGTGGGAGTTTTCCAGATTCAGTTATGTTTGTAGAGAGTCAGTGAGATGGGAAAAGATTGGTGATTGAGAGTTTGGCTGTTAGAGTAGGAGAAAAGATAGCACTTCTGTGTCACAGCCTGGTAGAGAAAGGGACATACTTGGCACTATGTGTAGCCAACATTGCTTCCAGCTTTCAATCCCATCTCTTTATCTCAGCTGAAATATACTCGTCCTGGACTGCCCACATTTAGTCAAGATGTGCTGTGCAAATGGAAAACAGAGATAAAGATGTACCGAAGAGTCCACTGCCCAAATCAGGTAATCCTTAAGTGTTTCTGAAGCCTCAAAGGGGGCAGATTTGGGGTCTGTATGAGCCAACAGCTTGACACAACCTTGAAGCTGCGGGAGACAACTTGTGCTCCATCTCAGTGCAGTTGGGTAGTGTAACCAAGACCCTGTTTGGACTGTTGCCTGATCCCTTTGGGGATGTGTTTGTCCACTTTAGAGCCAGTAAGTTGGTGTCAGACTGGTACGTCTGGGAGCTGGTTCATTTGAAAGTTTGAGCAGTGGAAAAACGACAGGCCCCTGCCTGTCTAGCAGGTGTGCTAAATCTAATTGTAGAAGGGAGGAGTAGATATGGAAGTGTAGTAGAGGGACTTTGTCTGGCACAGCACTCAAGTTTTCTTTTGAACGCTGGAAATGGGCTACAGAAGACATGTGTGGCACTGTTATCCTGGTCTAGGGATGCTTATGCACGTGCACTTAGTTTCTTACAATCCCACGCAACAGCCACCAGTCAGATCCAGTGAGAAGAAATGGCCCCTTTGGTAGAAACTGTGATAGGTGTGACGCACGTGACACATACGACTGGACGGCCAAGGGTCAGTGGTGGCTTCCATCTGGGTTTGGTGTAGAGACAATGCCTTCCCCCTGCCTTACCCCACCCCCAGAACTCTCTCCCTGGTTTCCAGGCTTGCATCATTTCCAAGTATAAGAATTGTGATGTAATGTTATATATGGAGCTGTCCCCAGAAAGCAGCTGTCCTGTTGCACTGATCTGTAAGTGTGTCTTGCACCTACCTCCTGTTTCAGGGTCTGGGCTGTTGGCTGAGCATGATCTCCTATCCCGAGACTGATGCCTAAAGCTCCATGTGGGGCAGGCCTCTAAAGTTGCCCTTTAACTGAGATCATTGGTGTCGGATACAGTTGTTCTGCTCTGTGCCATTAGATACACGAGCAGAGCAAACCTCTCTTATCCCTTTTGGAATCGTCTTCCAGAGAATAAGACTTTCTTGTGTAGAAATAAGTGATTTCTTACTGGAGTTTTGCTGACACACTTCTTTTACCGTTTCAGGGCTGTGAATCTGTATATGGCAGTGTCTCAGGACTCAAATCTCACCTTGGCACGTGTACCTTGGTTGGTAGCCTTCTTGTACTCACTATGTTTTATACCAGTAGCCGGACTGTCCCTGTCCCTCACAGCTCCTTATTCAAGCTGTTGTCCTGCCATCTGCTAATCTGAGTTCCTTACAGTTTGAGTGCTTCCTTATGTGCTAATGGGGTCGCTATTGCAAACACTGCTTGAGGCAAGGAGGAAGCATCTTAATGGCATGTATTTTAGTGAAACTGCAGTCCTACCTTTAGATGCACAGCTACAAGAGCATTTTTTCCAGGTACAGGCTGGAGACCTTGTAACATCTCACAGAGCAGTCCTATGCTTTGTGGGTGTAACCGGTCAATAATGTCAGTGCTCTTCTAACTAACACATTGTCTGGTATGAATAAGAGTTTCTACTTCTTACTGCTGGGTTATATCTGAGCAAGATTCAAACACAGTATGTAGGTGTATCAGCCTTCTAGGCAGCAATTGGTGACGGATTTTTTTGTTTTGGTGCCAGGGTGACTTTGTGGCTGGTAAATACAAGTGTCTCCTGTGTGAGAAGGAGTTCATTTCAGAAAGTGGGGTCAAGTACCACATCAACTCCATGCATGCTGAGGTAAGGCAGGCAGAATGGAAGTCCTCAAATCCCAGGTTGTTGAAGGTGGGAAGGGTGTCTTGGGAAGGAAATGCTGAATGCTTGCTCTGTTTTATTTTTTTCTTGCTCATGACTGGGAACAGGATCGCGGATTCGAGTGGCCTTTGATTTGCTTAAAGATAGCTGGTCTTATGCGTTGGTCTGGGGAGCAAGTGTTGTGTCATGGCACATGTCTTGTCCCAGGCTGCTGCTGCTCAGTTCAGCTCTTCAGCATTTCCCATGCCTTTAGCCAGGCAATTGCCAAATCAAATCTGAATCCTCTGAGACAGAATGCCACCTGAGGGGGAACATCAAAGAACAGAGATTTGTTAAGCAGCTGGCTCTCCAGATCTCGTGTTTTGGGAAACCCTTGTCCCACAAGGCAGCTTTATTATAAGCCCTGATAGGCTTTATGTGGTATTTCCACCATCAGTACCAACCTGTTGCCTTCTAAACCCCCCAGGATTGGTTTGATGTGAACACAACTACCACCAAAAGCTTTGAGAAGCTGATGAAAATCCGCCAAAGAGAAGAGCAGAGGAAGCAACGGAAGAAACGTCCTTTGACCCGGGGCAAAAAGAAGAGAACTGGGACCCTGGCTTCCAAAAAGGTCCCCACTGCTGGAATTGAAAAAATGAGGAGAAGTAAGAGAGGTCGTCCACAGCGGGTGGACAGTGAGAGTGTAAGTAGTGAGGAGAGGGAGCCCCAAGTTGCACAGAGAGCTGAATTTCCAAAAAACAGCCGCAAGCGAGGCCGGAAGTAAAACCGTACAAGAAGAGGAGTAATCCTAAAGGTTTTCAGTTACAAGTCCCACTTCTGTCAGGCTCATAACCCACAGCGCTAATACAAGCAACTGAATGTCTTTCGGACTGTGACTCCATTCTATTTGGTGACCTTGATTTTGAAACTGTTGCTTCTGGTCCATTGTGAGAGACTTCAGACCAAAGCTGTGGTACAGAGGCTGCTTCTCCTGCTGTAGTTCCCTTGGACAGTGGCACTAGCAGTGTACCCGATGTAGTTCCTGCTCTGGTTACAGTCTCAGTTTGGGTCACATTAGTTCCTTGTTTAGTGATTTCCAGTACAGCAGCTGTCTGTTTTGTCATCTTCCTCTGATGGGTGAGATCAGGGTTCTTTTTTAGCTGTTCTCCCTATAAAGGACTGACTAGCCCAGTGTTTAGGTCTCTTTAAGGGGGAAATTCTTTCTTGCACAGTTTGCACACAAACAAAGCAGCGCTGTGCAGAATACAAAGGCTTTAGCTTGCCCTGTAACTGTCCTGTCTTGTCAGCAAGGCTGCCGCAGAAGAGTAGATACCTTCCCAGCATATGCTCCAGTCTGTTGCACAAGGCACTGTCTACTTCATACACTGATGTTTGGGGCTCAGCACCAGACAGCAGCACCTGAGCTCTGGTCTGCTTGGAAGTGATGGAACATCGTTACTAGCCTCGTCAGGAACCCAGTACTTCCCTGGCATCTGTATGCTGTAGCACTGGGCATTGAATGCCCAGTAGAGGGTCTTCAGTCCAGTGAGGAATAAATGCTCTGCAGCCTTTTGGAGATTCACTGACCTTTCAGAGACCCCCAGTAACTAATGTAATAAGATGGCCTTCATGGGCCCTCTGAAGGTTGTTTGTTTCAGACTCACCTGGGAAACAAACTTACTGCAAGACAGCACATACCTACAGTAGCAGTCTTGCTGTTGCTGAAACCCAGGTTCCATGGAGCTGCCGTGCTGGTGTGTTGTTCTTTGTCATGCCCATGCTCCCATAGTGTCCTCTTTTCTGCACTGTAGACACCACCTTCGTTGTCTTCTATCACCTGTTTCTTTTCAATACTGCTTCCTTTGTGTGAACGAAGTATATTAGCAGTGGCTTCCCTGTGTGGAAAAGGTTAAAAGAAGAGGGTTCATTATTTGAAGTCATGTGTTGGTGTGAACTCTGGATTATAGGGGGTATCTTCTTGAGCTCTATAAATGCAGCAGATGTCAGAAGCTAGTAGGAAGCAGCAGCACAGGCAGTCCTACCCTTGTCTTTCCGAGAATGGGTTCTCCAGAATTTCTGTTGTCCAAAGATGCGCTGTACCAGGAAGTTGCAAAATTTGACATTTTCCTTGCAGTTTTGCTTGCAAGAAAATAGGCAGCTGGCTCCCTGTTACCTCCCTGTGAATATTCACTCTCTACCAAAGTTGCTGGTGCTGAAATTCACGGGGAAGCCATCGCAGTGCCTGGGGAACAGGTGGGTTTGTATGTATGTGTTATTACTGGAATAATCAGGTTGGTCCTGACAGTGGGAAGTGCTGTGTGGCCAGGGTGTTCTCAAGAACTGCCTCCCCCATATAATAAGCAAAGCAGACCCCAGCTGAGCATGGTCTGTTTCTCATGGGCATTAACGCCTGTATGGTAGTGAGGCAGCATGCAGTACTCCAGTGGGATTTACACGCAGTAGAGACACTGCCTTTTGGAACCAGCTGTCGTGGTAGCAGTGCTGCGCTGAAATTATAAATATGTGGACTTCTGTGCAGGGTGTATTAAGGTTTGCAGTAAGAGGGGCAAGATCAGAAGACGACAAAATAAAAAGTCACCAGTGCGAGAACGTGGTTTCTTGTCTGTTTGGTTTGTAGTGTTCTTGGTACCGTACCTACTTGCACAACACCCCCCAGCCTGCCCACTTGGTTGTCCTGCATGCTCTGGACATGCTGTTCAGTTGTCTGCACCATTTCTCCTCAGTACTCCACTCTACACAGCTGTACTTTGACCATACATGGTTACTGCCTTCCTGCCCAATAGATGGAATCGTAGAATCATTTTGATGTGATGATCTTAAAGGTCTCTTCCACACCAACCATTACCTAGCACTGCCAAGGTACCACTTAACCATGTCCCTCTATCACTAAACCATGTCCTTCATGGACAACACGATAAACCCATGAGTTAATGGAGGTTTTTCTTAGTGGATTTCAGTCTAGAGTCCTATTTACTGTCGTTTATAAGTTACTGACCAGACCTGCTTTCTAGGCATGGGTACTGTGTGACCACCTGGATTACTTTGTAGAGTTACATCCACAACATACTCCCCCACATAACATGGCATGTGGAAAAAAATCATTATCCAACAGTCTGTTCATGCTCCAGCAGTGTTATGGCAGATTGTTTGCTGGGTTGGCTCAAGCTGGTGGTGGCAGTGCTGCACCAGTGCAGTTCACTGGTTTTGAGGAGTGCGATCTGTTCAGGAGCACCTGCATCCCGCTCTGGATGGACTAAGGCTGGCTGCCCAATGCAGCTGCAGCAGCGCTCTGCTGCTCTGAGGGCATGGGAAAATTTAGCTTCAAGGAAGGTATTTTAATTGGAGAATTCATAACGTGTATCCAGGGCTATATATAACACATAAAACCACCTAATTGTACTACAGCCTACCATGCTGAGGTTTACTGTTCAAGCATCCGTAAGTCTACTGCTCAATCCATTGTTAAGAGTTCAGTTTAGACTAACATTTTGCAAATCCAGGTCACAATTCTACCCCATAGAATCATAGGACGGTTTGGGTTGGTACCTTTAAACCACCTTTGGGTGGTACCTTTAAACACCATCTAGTGCACTGCCCTTTCCACTGGCAGGGTCATCTGTCACTAGATCAGGTTGCTCAAAGACAGCTTGACCTTGAACACTTCCAGTGATGGGGCATCCACAGCTGCTCTGGGCAAATTGCACCACCCTCATAAAAAAAATCTTCCTTATGTCCAATCTAAACCTACCCTCTTGCAGTTTAAAGCCATTGTCCCTTGTCCTGTCACTACAGACCCTGATAAAAAGTCTCTCTCTGTCTTTCTTATAAGCCCTTTTTAAATACTGAAATGCCACAATAGGATCTCCCTGAAGCCTTCCCTTGTGCAGGCTGAACAATCCCAGCTCTCTCAGCCTTTCTTCATAGCAGAGGCATTCCAGCCATCTGATTGTTTTTGTGGCCTCCTCTGGACCTGCTCTAACAGGTCCATGTCTCTCTTGTGCTGTGGGCTGCAGAGCTGGATGCAGTGCTCCAGGCAGAGTCTCACAAGAGAGGAGTAGAAGGGGAGAATCACCTCCCTCGACCTGCTGGCCACGCTTCTTTTGATGCAGCCCTGGTTATGATTGCCTGGCTGTGCTGCAAGCACACATTGCCATCTCATGTCCAATTTTTTAGTATCCCCAAGTCCTCCGCAGGGCTGCTCTCCATCCGTTCATTTCCCAGGCTCCGTTGGTACTGGGGATTGCTCTGGCCCACGTGCAGGACCTTGCACTTGGCTTTGTTGAACTTTGTGAGGTTCACGTGCACGCATTCCTCAAACCTGTCAAGGTCTGTCTGGAGAGCATCCCTTCCCTCCGGCAAACCAACTGCGCCACTAAAAATGATGTGTTGTCTTATTTGAACTTCTTTAATTTCAGCCTCTGCATCTCATACTGCTCAGTCCTGGTAACTTAAATAGCTTTATGGTATCAGAAATTTCCTGCATACTTGTAGTCATAATTAACTCCATACATAATTTGCTGTATGAGCTAAAGAGACTTGATAGTCTCAGTCAAAACAGTTTTTTCTTCCTTTTTTTTTGTTGTTGTTGTTCTTTGCTGGTATATATTGATCTCGGTGTATTTTTGGCTTTTTAGTCCAGAGCCATGAATTGCAGTATTCTGTAAGAGTCTGTTTTATGTAGAATACAACAATAAGATTGCTCTGCTCTTAGCTACCTCTTTTTTTTCTCACCCACTGCTTCATTGCACTGTTTACATTGTTTGCGATTTACCCTCTTAAGCGCATTTTTCAGTTGTCCTGAAAATGCATCTGAGGGCCTATTTCCTGTGTTTCTAGAAATTCAAGTTAACAGGGTTTAAGGACAGACAGCACATGATGAATTCACCTGACCTTTCTAAAACATTGTATTTTACATAATTACTCTAGTAGAGACCTTAATAACTGTATTTTTTGTTGAGCAACTTTTCCAGAAACCTTTGTTGTATAATCAGTCTTTTCATTGCTTTTGTTTGTCATCAGCTTTTTTAATCTGCAGATTTTCTTTGCAATTGTTTTATAATTTCATTGACATTCTTGATAAAGATGCCAAATAGCTGCAGACGCTGGGATGCTTTAGGACAAATCCTTATTTACAATTATTTACCAACTAGCATTTAATGTGCTCCACCAATATTTGTATAGCATATGGGACCAAGAACAATGCCTTACAGAAATTTACAATGTCAGTAGCCACTTTTACCAACCAGGACTTGTAATTAATTAAAAAATAATGTTGGCAGAAACCTGTTCTCTTTGAAACCGTGTTGGTTGGTTTTACTTATGATATCCTGTCAACTGTTCTGTTGGTTTGCCTGGGAGATTTCAGACTGATAAGCCGTACTTACACTGACCATGCAGCTTGTCATTTTTTAAATACTGGCACAACACTTGAGTTTTGTTTCTTTTTTTTTTTTTTTTTCTCAGAAGAGGAGAGAGAATATGTTGTTGTTTTGGGGCTTAGGTTTTTATTTTTCTTTTCTTAATCTACAGGGATTTCCCCACTGTTCCAAGAATTGCTAAAGGCCATTAATAACTCAGAGAATTTTTCGGGAGTTTACTTGACATCCTTCCCTGCGAGTTATCCAATGCTGTAGCTTTAGAGATGTTTAAGCTGTTTTAATGATGCCAGAATGTCAAAAAAAAAAAAAAAAAGGAGATGTTCTGTTGAGGTTTGCAGGAACTGTGGAACAGGGAACGCACCTTACACAGAGACAACAGCAGCAATTTGTCATTCCTGCATTCATGAAACAGCCCGACTGCCGTGTACGGCACATGGGAGTGAAGTCATTGCAGCATACAT